GCCGGGTCGGGCATAGTGCCCCCATAGTCACATATTAACATGTACGTTCAATGGGTGGTTTCCCCCAAAAAATAGGGGCGCATGCCTGCTGCGCCCCCCTGGATCCGCCACTGAAAAGTGCCCAATTTCTTCCCAAAGAGAGCCCTTGTCTACTATACTTAAAAAGAACTTTTTAGATTTCTTAAGAAAGTGCCATTTACAATTTCACTAAAAAATAAGAGGCACTTTAAGAAGTGCCCCTTTTTACTACATGTATGTCTTTTCAAACTGCTCATGTGCACCTTCAAGCAACGATGAATAATGAAGTCTCTTTCAATATTACTTGTCCTTGAATATTGGTTCATGGCGCACCTTTTGAGGGCCTGGGCCGGGGCAAGCTTACTGTTTCTAAGTTGCCCTTATTCTCCTTGACCTTGAGGGAACAGTGGCTGCCCGGCCCAGGCCGTCAGGCTCTTGTCATGAGACTTTGATTGATGAAATAAAATATTCCAGAAATTGAATATTACTTGTCCTTAGATATTGGTTCATGGCGCACCTTTTGACGGCCTGGGCCGGGGCAAGCAGACTGTTTCTGGGTTGCCCACATCCTCCTTGACCTTGAGGGACCAGTGGCTGCCCGGCCCAGGCCGTCAGGCTCTGGTCATGAGACTTTGATTGATGAATAAAATATTCCAAAAATTGAATATTACTTGTCCTTGGATATAGGTTCACCTTTTGACGGCCTGGGCCGGGGCAAGCTTACTGTTTCTGGGTTACCCACATCCTCCTTGACCCCGAGGGACCAGTGGCTGCCCGGCCCAGGCCGTCAGGCTCTTGTCATGAGACTTTGATTGATGAAATAAAATATTTAAAAAAAAATGAATATTACTTGTCCTTGGATATTGGTTCATGGCGCACCTTTTGACGGCCTGGGCCGGGGCAAGCTGACTGTTTCTGGGTTGCCCACATCGTCCTTGACCTTGAGGGACCAGTGGTTGCCCGGCCCAGGCCGTCAGGCTCTGGTCATGAGACTTTGATTGATGAATAAAATATTCCAAAAATTGAATATTACTTGTCCTTGGATATTGGTTCATGGCGCACCTTTTGACGGCCTGGGCCGGGGCAAGCTTACTGTTTCTGGGTTGCCCACATCCTCCTTGACCCTGAGGGACCAGTGGCTTCCCGGCCCAGGCCGTCAGGCTCTTGTCATGAGACTTTGATTGATGAAATAAAATATTCCAAAAATTGAATATTACTTGTCCTTGGATATTGGTTCATGGTGCACCTTTTGACGGCCTGGGCCGGGGCAAGCTGACTCTTTCTGGGTTGCCCACAACCTCCTTGACCTTGAGGGACCAGTGGCTGCCCGGCCCAGGCCGTCAGGCTCTTGTCATGAGACTTTGATTGATGAAATAAAATATTTAAAAAAATTGAATATTACTTGTCCTTGGATATTGGTTCATGGCGCACCTTTTGACGGCCTGGGCCGGGGCAAGCTGACTGTTTCTGGGTTGCCCACATCCTCCTTGACCTTGAGGGACCAGTGGTTGCCCGGCCCAGGCCGTCAGGCTCTGGTCATGAGACTTTGATTGATGAATAAAATATTCCAAAAATTGAATATTACTTGTCCTTGGATATTGGTTCATGGCGCACCTTTTGACGGCCTGGGCCGGGGCAAGCTTACTGTTTCTGGGTTGCCCACATCCTCCTTGACCCTGAGGGACCAGTGGCTGCCCGGCCCAGGCCGTCAGGCTCTTGTCATGAGACTTTGATTGATGAAATAAAATATTCCAAAAATTGAATATTACTTGTCCTTGGATATTGGTTCATGGTGCACCTTTTGACGGCCTGGGCCGGGGCAAGCTGACTGTTTCTGGGTTGCCCACAACCTCCTTGACCTTGAGGGACCAGTGGCTGCCCGGCCCAGGCCGTCAGGCTCTTGTCATGAGACTTTGATTGATGAAATAAAATATTAAAAAAAATTGAATATTACTTGTCCTTGGATATTGGTTCATGGCGCACCTTTTGACGGCCTGGGCCGGGGCAAGCTGACTGTTTCTGGGTTGCCCACATCCTCCTTGACCTTGAGGGACCAGTGGCTGCCCGGCCCAGGCCGTCAGGCTCTTGTCATGAGACTTTGATTGATGAAATAAAATATTCCAAAAATTGAATATTACTTGTCCTTGGATATTGGTTCATGGTGCACCTTTTGACGGCCTGGGCCGGGGCAAGCTGACTGTTTCTTGGTTGCCCACAACCTCCTTGACCTTGAGGGACCAGTGGCTGCCCGGCCCAGGCCGTCAGGCTCTTGTCATGAGACTTTGATTGATGAAATAAAATATTTAAAAAAAATTGAATATTACTTGTCCTTGGATATTGGTTCATGGCGCACCTCTTGAGGGCCTGGGCCGGGGCAAGCTGACTGTTTCTGGGTTGCCCACATCGTCCTTGACCTTGAGGGACCAGTGGTTGCCCGGCCCAGGCCGTCAGGCTCTTGCCATGAGTCTTTGATTGATGAAATATACCAAAAATTGAATATACTTGTCCTTGGACTCTGGTTCATATGGCGCACCTTTTGACGGCCAGCTGACTGATTCTGGGTTGCCCTCATCCCTCTTGACCTTATAGTAGGCCAATAACTCCTGTAATAAACGGCATTCTTATTTTGAATATCGAATAAATAACTAAATTCATGTTTTGAATATCCAATAAGGAAAAAGTAACTAACTTCACAATGAATGTCGAATATCGAATAAGTAACTAACTTCACATTGAATATCCAATATCGAATAAGTAACTAACTTCACATTTTGAATATCCAATAAGGAAAAAGTAACTAACTTCACGCCGGTGTAAATAGGAACTGCGAGGCCTGGTAGTGGCATATTGAAAATACTCGTTGGTTTCTCGCGTGTGTTATTTGTGTGCAAGATACGGTGAAACTCGATCGCTCTGTTTATGAACCAGTTTCATCTTTTCTTGTGTTTTCGGAATTTTGATTATTATGGCACTTGTGTATTTTCTCATGCAATCATGCAATGCAATGTTCCCCCACAGGCCCCAGATAAATTCAGTGGTCGATCCAGGGAGTTCTCTAGCCGAGTCTGACCGGTGTGGATGTAGGGCATGGGGGGGGGGGGGGGGGGGGGGGGGGGTGTACATGTTTTAAAAATCTGAGAGAGTGTCAACAGTGTTAGGTGTATTTTTCACTAGATGTCAACTTCTCTGATAAGCAAAGAATAAAGTGAATAAATATATTTTCTTTTAAACTTAATTATCTTCAAAATGCATTTTTGGGGTTAACAAATTGCTGTGTGCAAAGGGCGATAAGGGGCACTTTGGGGGTAATTTATATGTAGTTAACGTATGTCAGATTAGGCTTTGCTGGTGGGGGGGGGGGACATGTGCCCCATATAGCGATGGGCAAAAAAAACAGGTTAAAAAACCGTTCATTTTATTTTTAAAAAACATTAATGACCCCACCCCCCCCCCCCCGGCCAAAAAGGATAATGAAAGTAGATGAAACACTACAAATTCTATTCATGCATCAATTGGCAAAATAAGTGTTTTGCTAAAAGGGGGGGGGGGGAGCTGATAGGTGGTCATTTTTTCTTTAGCAGTATAGGTCCAGAATTCTAATTCATTTGTCTGCAGGCAGGGGTGGTTGAGATACCTAATATTAAACTATTCCTACCCTCCCACAAAATGATATTATCATAATTGATTTAAAGGGCATTGCAGTGATTTGCATGGTGAAAATCTCAAAAACTTCTCAAAGGGCCAAAATGTTGTCATAATAATCATAATTGGAAACTTTCCTAAAAGTATGTTGGTAATATTATAGTCATTATTAGTTTCAAATTTCGAAATTGAATTTTTGCAAAGTTCTGGCAGTGTTTCATTCAGCACATTTGTTGTGGACAAATTGAGGGCTTTAAAGTTTCCAATATGTGCACATACTTTCATTATTTGTTTCATTATTTCATCCTCCTGCTTGACTGCTACTGATACAATTTTGAGGGCTTGCAAATCCCTACAGGCTTTAAACAATTAATTTATTCTTAAGTCATCCTTGTTTGATTATTAATCATTTAGTTAACAATGTCAGTAATTTCTTATCAATCATAATATTATAGCACATGGTAACCGATACTTATAGGTCGAAGAGAGTGAGCAAAAAGTGCCCCCTCACCATCAAGAAAATGTAAAATCTACAAATTCCGTGCACTAATGATGATTAAGCCTCAGATCGTTCATCTACATTGTTCATTGTTCATTGTTCATCTACAAATACGTTAGCGTGGATGTGTCTGGAAAGGACATTTTGCTGACCAAATCATACAGATACAGATACAGATCATCATTTTACAGGGACTTTCTAGCTTAAAGGGACTTTGTAACATTGTTCAGAAGAGAGATAGTGGTGCTAAGGTAGTGACTTCAATGCTAGATGTACAATTAAAGATAATCTGAAAATTTGAGCGAAAACGGACCATTATTCATGGTACAAATTGGGAAAAACTGATCCGATCGATTCCTTAATTCTCCCAACTATATTATTAAAATTTAATTACATTTTACGTGAATGGAAATCTCACAAAGCAATAAAATGGCTCTACATTCCATTCCAGACATTTAAGAGTTGACAGATTTTTTATAGCCTGTTTTTATGTCTTTTTTTCATGGAAAAACGGTTGGGAAAATTCAAAAATGTTTGGGAGAATTTAGATTCAGAAGCGCCACACATCGACGCCCATTCGAAAATCTGTTGAACTTTGTTAAAAATCTATATATTGCGTGAATTAATTTTGGATTTGGGGCATCGTAGTTGGATAATCCATACATGTACAAACATAATTTTACGTATTTTGCATCCTGATTCAACAGATTTGTGAAATCAACCATCACAATGTTACTAAGTACCTTTAAAGGAGAGTGATCTGAAGAGAAAATCCTCAGATTTCCAAATTTGGTGACAAACTTATAAACTGGTCATAAGATTTTCAAATACGATGTCAGATGAGCACAGATATTAAAGAATTTTTTTTCCCGAAATCAAAAATTAAATTCATAAATTTCATGCATACGTATATCAACAAGATAACATCTTTGGACCTGTAACTGTTTCATTGCCCATAGATCTTCACCAGCATAGGGCAGACATGGAGGGCAACATGGACGTACTACCCTTCAGCCTGTCATGTGACCGCTGTGACTTCCGCACTAAGAGCATGTCTGCCATGAGAGACCATGCTCAGACGCACTCGGCTGAACACCAAGACCAGCATCCAATAGAAGAGATAGGTAAAAATATGTGTGTGTTCACCTGGCAAAAGTTAATGGGGTTAAACTGTAAGGGGGGTGAGATATGTTACACCATGCTCAGATCTACCTGTCTGAACAACAAGAACAGCAACCAATAGAAGAGATAGGTAAATATTTGTGTGTGTTCAGTTGGTGAACGTTAATGGGTAAACCTGTTGGGGGAATGACATAGGAACAAACCATGCTCAGATCTGCCTGTCTGAACAACAAGAACAGCAACCAATAGAAGAGATAGCTATAGCTTTGTGTGTGTTCAGTTGGCAAAAGTGGGTTCATATATAGGCAGTTAAAGTGTTAAAGAGTAACCACCCTTCACAAATGAGAAACTTAACACAAAATCACCAATAGAATAGATACCAGTAGATAAAATCAGTAAAAAGTGTGCTGACAATGGAGTCAACGTACTTTATTCCTTTTAAAGCTGTTTTTGTTTTTCCAAAATGAAAAATAATCTCTGTTCAATCCTCTGTTCATACAAGAAATATTGTCAGCTGAATACATAGGAATCATAATTTCAGTAAAAAATATATTCCTATTTCTGTTCCTTTCTTTATGTAGGTATTAGCAACCATGCTCCAAGTGATGACCATGCCCTTCAAGCACTAGTTGACTCCGCCCTAAACGATGCCTCTCGACTCCTCCTCTCCTCACCCGACAACACCAACCACCACCATCTTCAAGATCCCGGCACCACTTCAAACCAGAGCCCTGTAGAAGAGGTCGGAAGGACAGATGGTAATGGTCATCCCTCTGGAGTTGAACACCAGGACAGGAAAAAGGAGCGGATGGTGACGCCAAGGGCTAGTGCTTTGGCTGCTGAGGACCTCCTCGGGATATACGCTGCTGGAATTGACTTCAGCGTCGTCGGAGGAGGGGTCGTCCACGATGGTCAGTTTCGAGCTGGATGCGGTCAAGAAGTACAGACCATGATGTCCGCAGCGATAGCAGAAAGCGCAGATGGTGGTGTCAGGAGTGGGATAGGCATTCCCAGTCATGATGAAGCTACCTCTAGGTCTCATCTGGGAGATGATGGCAGTGGAAGTATGAATAATGGTGGAGAAACTGAACCTTATTCTGTAGATTCTTCTGGTAACTCCAGGGGAGTAGGTCATGATAGTAACACGAGAGTTGATCCTAATCAAAGGAAAGAAGACAGTGAGATTAGTTGTGGCATTCATCCAATCACATCAGAACAAGCTAGGACAGATTCACCTCAATCTAGAAGTTCTGGAAGTGCAAGCTGTTCACAGAATTTGGGACGGACACAAATGTTGAGGGGTAAGAAAGCCACCAGACCAAGTTTTAAGTTTGTCATCCATCGTTCAGCGTTCAGTAAAACTCCCTCAGCAGATGACGAGACACCATCATCTTCATCAAAACATAGACCCTCTCACAGTCACAGTAAGGTTGTTGCTAGACAAGCCAAAGATCATAACTCCTCAGCATCTGACAATGCCTCGGCAACTATGGACAAGGGTAGCGGAGGAACAACAGCATCAAGAACTCGTGGACAGAGATCAAAGCCTGTGCTTGAGGATGGAGGAACGGCTGCTCGGGATGCAAGCTCCGGGAGGCGTAGAGGACGAAAGCTGGTCTGTCCGACTAAACTGATCGTCGAACAGGGGAGGACGCTCCCACCCTCTAAACGTCATGGACAAAAAGGTTTTAGACCTGGTGCGAGGCCTGGGAAGGGTGATGGGAAGCAGATGAGGTACAGATGCCCAGAGTGTCGCTTCTCATGTATGCTCAAGAAAGACTTGACAGCTCACACCAAACTGGCCCACACCAAGAGCGGGAGGAAGGATGCAAGGGTTGGGAAAGTGCACTTTGAAATAAACAAATCCAAAGCCTCCCAGAGTAAACAGGGCTCCAAAAGAACTTCAAGAGGAAATGTTTTGGATTCCTGTGATCCAGAACAAGAGGATAGCCCACCCAAACCAAGGAAACTCTTGAAAAAAGTAAATGACAATAGGAAAAGTACTTCTAGATGTAATAAAAGACCCACCAGGGATAAAAAGCCTGCAGAGGATGAATCTGAAGAACTACAAGAAAATGATGATGAAGAGAATGTTGATGATGATTGGGAACCTGATGCAGGAGATGTGAGCTCTAGTGAAGGGGAAGTGATTGATAGCGGAAGAGAGGAGGATAGTGATGATGATGATGTGTGCAGTATCTGTCACAAGTTTACTGCAGACTGTCCCGCAGACATGGAGCGCCACCGAGCAGAGGAGCATAGGGATAGCTTGCAGAGCTCAAAGCAATTCCAATGTAACTATTGCAGCTACTCTTGCCAGGGTCGGAAGACTCTTGCCGCCCACATCCATGGCTTGCATGGTGACACGGTACAACTCCTCACACAGAAAGCCACAGAGCCCAAAGCCAAATCAGTGAAGAAGGAAGTGGACACCAGCCGTGTCTATCGCTGTAGCATCTGTAACTTCAGCTGCCATTCGAGCCATCTCCTGAACAGCCACATGAAGAGCACCCACCACTTTGAAAAGATGTCTGGTGAGTTCACCTGTGGCGTGTGTGGGAAGGTCGTCGTTGGACGCTACTCTCACTTCCGCCGCCACCTCCGATGCCATTCGGAGGAGCGTCCCTATAAGTGCGATCAGTGTCCTCTGGCCTTCCGTGACGCAAACAGCCTGAACTGCCACTTGCCCATCCACAAGGAAGACCGTGACTACCTCTGCGAAGACTGCGGTATGGCCTTCAAGCGTCCGATCAACTTGCGGATGCACCGCAAGGTCCACAGCGACAAGATGTTCCCCTGCGATTCCTGCGACTACAAGTGCCGCCGTCGCAACACTCTCCTGAACCACAAGAAGCGGAAGCACCTGAAGCAGAAGACTGTCCTCTGTCAGCACTGCGGCCATTGCTTCTTCTCCAAGACGGAGTGTAAGAACCATGTGATGAAGAAGCACACCCAGCGGCCGACTCCTTTCGCTTGTCCGATCTGTCCTGCAGTGTTCATGTTCCAGTACCGCTTCAAGGCACACTTGAAGACACACCCTGAGATCAAACCTTACAGGTGTCACGTCTGTGGCTTTGAGACCAGACTAAACACCTACCTCATGGATCATATGAGACAACATACAGGTAACACTAAAATGATGATTATACTAATTACAAATACATGTATAGGCATACAAGGTTGGAGCCTGGGGGTTGCAGCCCCTTAATGACTTTTAAAGTTACGATATTCAAACAATGAGGTGCCCAACTAACTTCATGTGTATAAATTGAGATGCTCGAATAAGCTCATGCTTAAAGGAGTGAGGTGCTCTTTATGCTCATATTGAGGGATCAAGGTGCCCGACTATATCATTTTTACATATTATCAAGACTACTTCGGTGACAAAATTTAAAAGAGTCAATAACAAACTGTTCTCTTTTTTTCTTTAATGGAAAGTTAATATTGAGGTATCAATTCAGGCAAAAATGTTCCAGTATAGACTATGATGTTAAACTTTCAAAACCCAATTGTAGTTTGCTCATCTTTACTCATGTATATATGTAGATAGGTCTGTGAGTAACATGCTAAATACCAAAAAGTTGATTCATATTATTATAGGCTGTAAGTTGATTCATATTATTATAGGCTGTAAGTTGATTACGACAATACTCTATAAGAGGGATTCACTCTAATGGAAGAAGAAGAACAACAACAACAACAACACTGAATGAAAAATTTCAATTCAACAATTTACGCTCTTGTGACTGTTCCTCTATGTTCAATTTTAAACTGACCAAGGTTTTTTCTTCTTCCCTGGATGACACACTTTACCGAACTTCAATCAAATCAAATCAAACCAAATAAACAAACAATATAAAAAATTCATTGCCATTTTGCAATTATATACACGATCTTTTCCACTGACAGGAGAAAAACCAAAGAAATGCAATCTGTGCGACTATGAGACTTCCACCAACAGCAACCTCTACAAACATAGAAAGCGCCACCATGGTCCAGGGATCCCACGGCTCAGCTCCAGGACCCGCAGGCCCCGCCCAAACAGGGCCCAGAACAAGGCGGAGGAGAACCCCATGGGGATGAGCGACGAGCAGAAGCAGCGAGCGGAGAAGAGCGTGGTGGAGGACATCGTGAATGCAGTGGAGTTTGGCCAGATGGCATCCCAGGTGAACCTTGCAGCAGGGGGCCAGGCGGCAGCGGCCATGTTCAATATGGCAGCCATGTGCAGTACTCAAGAATTTAAGCAGGAGCAACTGATGCAAGGTGAATACTGTTCTTTGAGTTTTAAAGGTGTAGACCAGTTATGGTCATGCGATTGCATTGAGGAAGAAACGTTGTGGAATCGATCAGAAAAGGTTGATCATCTCGCATAGAAATATTAGTGTGTACTGCAAGGTTCTGGAATCATCAAAATGATAAGAAATTTGGCCCAGTTTTCGTAAATTTACAAGCACTGTACACAGGAAGATGTATATGGGACTATGCGATATCTATCCAGGCCGGATCAATATGATAATATACCAAATATATCAATTAGTAGGCAGTTTCCCGGCAAAATTTGTATCACATATTAGTCAAAACATATTCTATCGCATGATTGGTAATAAGAACTTCCACTTCATTTTTTGAGAGGGGGGCATTTCCAAAAGTGGTTTTCACTTTAAGTTTATCATTACTGCTGTTATGGTGTTATCCCTGGGATGTTTACTTATCAGCATGATCTGCATGTATTCTCAAATCAATAATAATTGTTTATTCAGGCCATCTGGATTCACTTTATGGACCATAATAGTTCAGATGTAGAGGTAATATTTTGATGAGTTTTGCAATATGCAGTAATTAGGCATCTTTTGGAATACAGAAAATCTGTGATACCATAGTTTGTGATTCTTTTTGAAAGCAGATCGTTGAACCTCCTCAGAGCATCCGTAAAACATGAACAATATATGAATGAAAGTAAGCCCTATAATCGACATACTAATTATCAGACCATAGAGATAGTAGACGGGCAGCATGTATTAAAACTTAATTGAATTCAGTTATTGCTTATTGTAACAATCGCCATTGGACCAGATGGGGGTCAACTGTGTAAAGGTATCCACTAACTTTGTCTCAGATTCTGAAACAAAGTCCTGGATTTAGCTCATGCTGCAATGATAATTATAAACCTTTAGGTCAGTAAGGAATCCCATGACTTTTACAAGCTGATCGCCTGTCTGATTATCAAGATATTTATGCTTGGAAATCAAAACCAAATTTGTGTTTTCGTAACGGTTTTTATAGCACTACAGTCTATTGGGGAAAATGAGTATGGTAAAACCAGTCACTTAAAGATTTTTCATTTTTTGAGGCGCTTCATGATCATTTTGAAGCGCAATTTTTTGTAGGGCTTCAATATTACACCATAATCACAGACACTGATAACACGTAGGACCATGCATCTCAGATTTAACATTGTTAAACGATGCCTTTAAGCATGCTTCTCTTTATTTCTCTTCTCAGTTCCTCCTTCTGATGTGCACCAAGGTCATCCAATCCTACCCGAGGAGGTCAACATCATCAGCTCCGTCTCGGACACTGGCCACGATGCAGAACGCCTCTCCATTTCCATTCTCGATAAGACAACATCCTCCGTGGCAGCCATGATGGAAGCCCTGGCCGACGCCCGTAACATGCGCCCCCCTCAGGCCCACCAGCCCAACCACCAAGCCCTCATCTCGCACCCCAGCCCGTACTCCATCCACCTGGCCACGGCGCCCACGCCCCAACCAAGCACCCCTCCCACCACCAGCTCCGCCCCACTCTTCCAGCGATCCGTCGCAGCAATGGCAGCCAACATGACCATGCATTATGTGCATCCGAACATCGGTGCAATCGGGGGAGGGGGGAGTTACCACCACCTGTCCGCCTTGGCAGGGGAGGCGGCCAGTCGATCGCCCATTACGTCTCACGGTCAGCCGACGCCCCATAATGTCACCATCCCACCTCCTCTGATCGGTGTCGGGCAGGGTCAAGCCACGCCTCAACCCCTCACCCACTTCCCAAACATGATGCACTATTAACCTATTCCCTGCAGGAACCATGTGGCTCCCGTACTAAAGCATATGACTATGAGACAATGCGGTGTTCCACGAGTTAAAGAACCTGATAATAACAAATCGGTTGCATAATTTACCCAGAGTAGCTTCATCAGTATTAACACAGCATTGCTCTATCTGAGGGTCTTGTAATTATTATTAAACCAACAATTGCTTGGTACCCATTCAATACACCAGGGCCCCATTTCACAAAACTTGTCATCAGTTACAAATGACAGTTTCTGTTATAAGCTACTGAAATCCTTGCCTCTGATTGGTTATCAGCAGATTTGTCACTGATTTTTGGCATTTGTCATTGAAAAAGGGGTTTGTGAAACAGGTACCAGGGGCTCACAACACAAATATTAGCAATTGATCATACAACTAATAGATTGATCATTTATTGTACGTTGTTAATTGCAAAATAGCAAACTTTTTTTTCTTTTTCTTTCGATGGAAGAATTAATTTGATCAACAAAAAAAACTTGATTACTGGTATATCAAACAAATATGACATAGTGGTAAAAGCTAACATAGTTACACCTTGCAATAATTGTACATGCATCAATAACCAAGCAAAAAGGATTTTTATTTCAAATGCACCTCATTGTTCGGAGGAGAGCTTTGGAAGTCTTGAATAATGTTGCGTAAAAAAGGCAGTCCCAAAACAAGTGTGAAATACTTCCAATAGAGGATTAGAAAAATGTAAATGAATTAGAATCAGCCAAGCCCATACTATTAGGAGATTTGTTGACCCCAAGTATTCAGTGACAAATTCTGAATTAAGAAAATAACAATATTTTCAATTGCTAACGTATGTTTGTGTTATGTGGCCCTGGATCGAGAAGGAGAAATGTTGGTAAATACCTTGCCTGAGGACCTAAGCACCAAGCAGCGATCGAACCCAGGACCTGCCACATGAGAATAAAGACGCGATGGCTCAGTGGTAGAGCAGTGGTCTCCTAACAGAGAGGTCCATGGTTTGAAACCAAGTTGATGCACTAGTGCCCTTTGGTAAGGCATTAATCCTCATTACAAAGTCCCTTAGATGGGACTAAAAGCTGTTGGTCCCCTGGGTGCCCACCGTACATAAAAGCATACACATGCTTTCTTAGCAGCCAGCTAAAACAAACAAGACCCTCTAGGGCCTCCACCGATATCCCCCCCCATAAGTAATGCATTACTTTCTTGCCACAGTGATACCAAAGTATTCAATAATTTCAGAAAAGTATTCTATGTATTAAGGTGCTACTTTGATTAATGTTTAGGAGAGAAAGCAAACAGATTAAGTGGAGTCTTCATTCTCTGATTCTATTCTTTTGTTTTTGAATTGAATATATACAACACAAAGAAATATCTGCTAGCTAGAGAAAAAAAGAGAAGAAATCATGTGGTATGATTATCATTTTACTGCAAGGCATTCTCCTCTAAAGAACAAGTTTGTTCTCTTTATAGATGTTATATTTAAATAGATTTAGAAAAATAACCAAAGTTACAAATGTATACAAAATAAGAAATGCTTATGAATTCTTGCCAACTATATAATTTGTTTGGAGTTGTATGTATGTGAAGAAAGAAAAAAAAAGTTAAACTTGCTATAAAAAAGCCTATCATTGTGTTACTACAGACCTAAAAAGGTGTAATGCCTAAAAGCTCTGTACGTATATGGTGCCTTTTTGCCTCAACGAGAACTGTTGAATTTGTAATCGACGTGCCAGAAATTTTCTATCTGACATCTTAGAAATATTGTTAGTTTTATTACTGGAAATAATGTTTATTTATTATCTTTTGGTGAACTCTTCACCTTCCCCTAGTGTGCCATGGCTCCCTAGGAAGGTTAAATGGAATTTCAGTACTATTTAATAGGTGATTTCCTAATATATAGGAAGCAGGAACAAGTACTCAACATGCAATCTTAAAGGTAAAGACCAGTTATGGTCATGCGATTGCATTGTGAAAGAAACGTTCTGGAATCGATCAGAAAAGGTTGATCATCTAGCATATAAGTATTGGTGTGTACTGCAAGTTCTGGAATCATCAAAATGATAAGAAATTTGGCCCACTCTTGGTAAAGTTACAAGCACTGTACACAGAAAGATGCATATGGGACTACGGGATATCTATCGAGGCCGGATAGATATGATAATTTACCAAATATATCAATTAGTAGGCGGTTTACCGGCAAAATTTGTATCATCACGTATTATTCATAACATATTCTTTCACATGATTGGTAATAAGATTTCCATTTCATTTTTTGAGAGGGGGGTGTTTCCAAAACTGGTCTTTACCATTTCATTGTTCAGCATTTTTGCTGAACAATTATCAACGATAAGAACTCCAGATTTGACTCTTGAAAGTGTGTTCATGATCTTTTATGTGCCTTGCAGGAGGGGGCTTAAACAAAGTTTTGACAGGTTGTTCAATATTTTATCTGCTTCCCATAAAAAGGCTGTAAGAGCAATTCAATGTTTTTAATGGCAGCCTATGTTTTTTATGTTTTGTATGGAAGGAAGTAGAAATAATTTAGAGAAGTTATAACTGCAGTTACTAATTTTAGACCAGCACTTCTCAACCTCTTTTAACTCTAGGCCAACTTGGGTTTTTTTTTTTTTTTTTAATCGAGGTCCACTTTGGCTGCTTGAAATGGTTTGAAGCCCACCTTACAAAAACTTGATTTGAAGAAAAAATGAAAATATGACGTGATACAAGAACATAAAGAATGAATTGTGTGATAATATATGTATTGTTCCACTGTAAGTTGTAATACTGCTATTACATACCCTCAGTTTGTAAAGACATAAATCTTTGAGAAAACTTGAAACATTTAGCATTATACAGCTGAATTTCTGGTTGTGTCATGTATGATCAGACACAATTTGTTTATTTATAGTTATCTATTCTTAAAATATGTTATGGACAACCTTACGACCCACCAAATAACCAAATAACTTGATCTTGCCATAATGTTTTCTTCTGTTTTTCATGATCTTCAAATACTTCTTCTCTTTTTTACACATGGTCGCTAAAACATTTCAAAGTGTGAGTGTCATTTAAAAATGATATATGTTCATTTGTGATTTTGCTGTCATTGATGCAGAAGGAAGTCTTGGACCTTGTTATCGATGATTTAAAGAAGAAAATAGACGCATTTGAACAACAGCTATGACTCAGTTATGAATGTTTTATTTCTTTCTTTTTTTCTTTTGATAATAATAATAATAGTGGCTACTTGTATAGCGCACAGGTCCACCTTTCGGTGCTCATGGCGCTTAGAGACATGTAACAGACATAAGAAAGAAAAAACAATAAACCGAAGAAGAAGAAAAATGAAATTCTCCTAGACATGGTAAATTAGAATATTGCAATATTTACAACGAAAGAAACAAATAAGTTTTCAGTTGTAATTTAAATGTTTCTGTTGACGACAGTTGGCGTACATGTAGAGGGAGCTTATTCCAGAGTTTTGGACCCATTGCTGAGAAAGCCTGATCGCCCAAGCAAGTTTTATTCTGGGTGTATTAAGTAATAGCGTGTCTAATGAGGAGCGAAGACTTCGTGTGGGGTTGTATTTTGAAACAGAATTTCTCAGGTATGTAGGGGAAGAAAGAGAGTAAACTGAATGATGAACTAGTAGCATAATTTTAAAAAATAATCCTTTTGTCAACTGGCAACCATTTCATTTAGCGATACTGGTGATGGCAAAAGAAAAAGGCATGTTGATGCTTGTGAAAAGTATGATATTAATGGTGATTGTGTGCAGGTGGTTGATGATGATGAGGATGAACAAGAAGAAGAAGAAGGAGGAGGAGGAGATGGTGATGATGATTGTGGTGACGCTTGTTAAGATGAGTAAGGTGCATGATGATGAAGAAGAAAATGAAGAAGAAGAGAGCGAAGATGGTGATGATGTGTAAGGTGCATGATGATGGCGATGAAAATGAAGGAGAAAAAGAAAAGGTAGAAGAAGAAGACAAAAAAGGAGAAGGAAAAAAAGAAGCCGTAGGAGGAAAACGGTGGTGTTGATGGTACCATGGTGAATATGATGTTGATGATTATTGTCGTGTTTATGATTGTTATCATGATTATGATTGTGATAAGGATTATGATGATAATTATGATTATCATATTATCTTATCACGTTTTCAGACATGACGATATTTTCTTCAGGAAAAAATATTAGTCCCCCCCCCCCCCCCCCCCCCCCGTTTCCAATCACGATTAGTCCATAAAAAGTGCACACTGCCCTCTACGATGGATGACGCAGAGATTGGCCATTCGATTCAGTTTGATACATCAACACTGGCAAATTCTATAAGATGCGGGACTTGATCATTCTGTGGTATATCCAGAAATGTTTACAAAAAGGGGGTGAGGACTAATTTGTTGTATGCCGAGGTAGGGAGGCGAAGGTGGGGTCTTCACAGAAAAATACACCACTAATACGAAAAAGCCGGAAGGAAATGGAGGGAGGGGAGGATTAAAAAAAACCTTAGCGGTGGCTCTTTCAATCTATTGGGATTTCCGCATCACCAATAAAATTTCCAAGAGAGAGAGATGAGGAAAGATCCAAAGGTTACAGTGATTTAGTTCGCGTTCCGCCTCCCAGGCACAGGTGACGCCAACATTGGATAAAATAAAAATAAAGAAATGAAAACAAAGAAAGAAGAAGGGTATGTAATCAAAATGAGAAGAAAAATAGAAGAAAATATAAAGAAAAACAAGAAGGGGAATAAGACGAAGATAATGATGAGGGTGGAGAAGAAGACGATGCTGAGAAAGAGGATAAAAGAAGAAACATAACAGAGAGGGAGGAAGAGGGGTCGCGGGGGGGGGGGGGATAGTCCTATACTGTGTCAAAAAATGATAAAGTAAAATGGGCTAATAAGTGTCTGCTAGGCTTTTCACCCAAGGGCCGTGCCCGGGTCTTCGAACACCGAGGGGCAACTGGTAATCCAGAGAGATTTTTTCTTCCAAACTCGAAGGTTATTAGCATAACAATCGGTATAGATTAGATGGGGGGGGGGCTTGGCTAGCCGCCCTTAATTCCAAAAACGAATATTAGGCCTGACGTGAACGGCGGCCCTTTGGATACAAAGATCCGAGAGGTTTTAGTCAGAACATTTGGAAAAGGGTCACAATTACTTTCAAATGTCTTCAAAATCTACAATCATTTATTGGGCCTTTGTAGGCTATCAGGGGGGGAGGGGAAGCAGTGGGGCGAGTATGGGCGTTGCTAAAGCGGGATGAGGGGTGTGATCCTCACTTATTCAAAATTTCTGTCCCCCAAAAATGTTTGATAGTGTCGGCAAATGTATAGGCCTAAGATAAATATTCTAATCTTCCTTCGAGTTTTGTTCTCGTTGTTCACTTTGCAAATTTTCTAAAATGTTGATATAAAGTTAAATCTTTTGTTCAATTTTTTTTTATACCGAGTCATATTTATTAATAATTTGACTTAGTTGAAAAGGGATTTTTTTAATCCATGGCAATTGTCACCACAAAATATGATTATTTTGACTTTTGACATTTTTTTTCAGGTAAGGAAAGCAACACTCAATATCTTTTTAGAGGGATGGGGGCATCCACAAACAAAAATCAGGTTATTATTACAAAATTGAATTCCTGTATACATGTATTTCACAAGCGCTAGTTTTTCCATCGGCCGCGATAAAGCTGATGGGAGGCTTGCGTGATCTTCAATTCACTCCCCAACCTAATTTGCGAAAGAGTGGAAAGAAACACAAGGGTTAAATAATAATGCAGATCCTATATTTTTCCTCCTGTAGATATGATGAATAAAACAATGGGGTGGTTTTTTTTAATTTATTACTGAGGAAAAAAGATTATCCCTTTGAAAGAATTAGGGACCTACAACTTTAAAATTTACCTACAAGTTAGTATCTCGCCATGAAATTATCACCAAGACTTCACTAAAAACCACATTTTTTTATTTTTTTATATTTTTTTTAAAATATTTTATTTTTATTGTTTGTATTGTTATTATTATCATTATTATTATTTTTTTTTTTTAGGGGGGGGGGGGGTAGCTCCTTGAAATCCGTTTTACGATACAACGTTATTCCTATTATTGTACAACAACTTATTTATTCCTCGAGCAAAACCCGGACGCATCAAAAGGAGTACAAGTTTGGGGGGGGGGGGGGGGAGTGGCCACAGTGATCAATTTCAGAACTGTGTCAAAATTATATGAGTCATTCCTTGTATGAAGATGTGAACAAATGTGCGAATTTCTCTCCCTTTTTCGCATTTGTTCTATTTCTATTTCTTGTTAGAATACATTCAAAATTCACCTCCAAAGAAGAGTGACTTGTTTTCGACGTGATGGAAGACAAAATATTTAGATCTGGGGGGTATTTCACAAAGATCCTAAAGTCGAGCTAAACTCTAAGTTGGACTTAAACATTATAGAGAGCCATTCGTAGCCTTAAAATAAGATATATACAAAAGCAAAATTTCAAGTACTTCAGACTTTAAATAAATTCCACATCAAGAACGTGAAATCGCCTTGATAACAGAAAATATGAATGAATACAATCAACATTTTTTGCCTTTTAACATAAATTTTACCCAATATTTTCAAAGATGCTAACAGCTTTCCATAATTGTTAAGTTCAACTTAGGATCTTTGTGACACACACCCCCTGTTCTAGAAAAGCAAAATGCTAGTTTGGAGAGGAGAGCAATTCCTTTACGAATTCAATATCCATCAAGGAGCAATTATAAAGAATATTATACTC